TAGTGAATGTATCCCTAAGTAACAGTGACCCATAACATGATTGAATTCTATATTCCATTTGAGAGAGAGAAGAATGAATCTGAGATTATTTTTATGAGGGCATGAAAGCAGAGCTGGCTAAAGTGAATTATTGGCAAATTAGGTTAAACTATAGGTCAACAGAGGTGCAGTGGCAGGCAATTATGGGGATATTTCAGAATACACAGAACAGAAAGGTTCCAATGAGTTGGAAAAATTCCAAGGGATAGACAGTAGAAAATTCAAATATCGTTTCAAATTTAAATTAAAAGCATATAATTGTGAAATGACAGCTGGCAGGTCAGAAGATTCAACAGAATAAAATCTGTTTTTACATTTCTAGCTAACTTTCTCTCATACTCTAATTTTTCCCTTATTAAGTTTAAGTCATTCTTGATGTTTTTATATTCCATCTAATCTTCTGATATGCCACCTATCTTTTCACAATTATATGCTTTTGACTTAGTTTCCTGTAGCTATTTAAAAGAGCACAGTGAAACTGAATATTGGCCTTGTACAAAGTGAGTCGAGAGAATTAACAATGGAAAATAAAGAGATAGCAGATGAATTGAACTGGTGTGCTTCATCAGCCTTCACTATACAGGATACAAGAAACAATTATAAAACAGGAAGTGGGAGGGAAGAAGGAACTCAGGAAAATTACAATCATCAGATGAAAGAGTAAGTAAAGTGATTAACTTACTGAAGGAATAAGTAAAGTGATTAACTTACTGAAGGAATAAGTAAAGTGATTTACCGAAGGAAGAAGTATACCAAAGGAAGAAGTAAAGACATTAACTTACTGAAGGAGGAAGTAAAGAGATCAACAACACAAAGGACCTTTAGATCGAACTTTACACAATCAAGATGAAACATCCGCTGAAACAACAAATCCTGTTCCGACAGCAATAGAAGCGCTAACCGTCACCCGCTTTGCAAGACGCCTGGAACAGATTAAAGAACTGTGTACATGACTTGGGGGGGGTGGTTTGGCAATAATTCACTCTAGCCAGCTCTGCTTTCATGCCCTCATAAAAATAATCTCAGATTCATTCTTCTCTCTCTCAAATGGAATATAGAATTCAATCAAATGTATATAACCTTTGAAATCGTCTGTAATAGCTGAGAAGTTTGGTGAGACCCCTTTGAGGTCCCTGCTTCTCCCAAAAGCTTTTGTTAATAAACAGTGTCTGACTCACTGTAGAATCGTACTTGGTAATATTTTACCGACAACAAATTGGCGTAGTCGGCAGGATGCTGTCTATGGCCCGGACAGCATGGCCACGGCCCAGACACCGGGACAGGATACCGAACACAAAGTTAAGTGAGTTGGACCACAGTAGTTTAATGATCTGTTGAGTGTGAATGTGACACTGTCTGTCGTTTGAGTTGAGCAAGATCGGACAAGGAGGTACCCATCTCTAACGCGCAGCCTGAACCGGTTGTTAAGAGGGGATTCCCCCACGCGAAGGTCAGGACCCTAAAGTGGGCGTAGAGACTGGAGAAGAGGTACTGGGATGTGATACTCAAACGCACAGTGCGAATGTGATGTGTGACAGTGGCTAGTGCGATAGTTGATGCAATGGTTTTAACTTCCCACAACACCTTTGATTCAGGGAAGATCCCATTATATTGAATAAATGTAAAATATTCAATGCAAATGTAAATATTCAAATAGGGAGACAGAAAACTGGAAACTACGGCCAGTTAGTTTATGTCTGATATGGAGAAAAAGTTAATAGTTATTATGAAAGAAGATACAGAGCGTACTTAGATAAGATCGAGGTAATCAGATAGAGACAACATGGTTTTATGAAAGGAAAATCAAGCTTAATCAATCTGTTGGATTCTTTGAGAAAGCAATAGGTGCTGTGCTGTTGATAAAGGGGAACCAGTGAATGTACTGTACTTAGACTTTCAGAGGCATTTAATAACGTACCACATCAAAAGTTATTGCAGAAAATGAAAGCTTAGTGTAATGGGTAGAATACTGGCTTGGACAAACAATTGGCTTACAAAAAGGAAGCAAGAGTAGGAATAAATGAGTCTTTTCTTCAGTATAGCAAGATGCAACAAATGCTATGCCTCAGTATTCAGATCTCAACAGTTTACAACTTATGTAAATGATTTGGATGAAGGGTCAGAAGGTATAGCTGCCAAATTTGCTGATGACACAAAGATAGATAGAAAGCTAAATTGTAAAAAGGTTATTAGGAGGCTATAAAATATATATAGATAGTTTAAGTGGGTGGTCAAAGATCTGACAAATGGAGGGAATTGTGGGAAAATATGAAATTGTTCATTTTGGAAGGAAGAAAACAAAAAGGAACTTATTATCTGAACAGTGAGATTGAAGAGCTCTGAGCTGCAGAAGTTTGCAGGTGGTCCTGTGTGCAAATTGCAAAAAGCTACTCTGCACGTACTGTAACTAATTAGGAAAGCTAATAGAATCATTTATTGCAAGGATAATTGAATACAAAAGTATGAGATTATGTTGCAGTTATACAGCACATCAGTGAGACCACGTCTGGAGTACTGTGTACAGTTCTGGTCACCTTATTTAAGAAGGGGTGTATATGTGTCGGAAGCAGTTCAGGGAACGTTTACTAGATTAATATCTGGAATTGACTGGTTTTCTTGTGCGAACAAGGTGGACAGGCAAAGCTCATAGCCACTGGAGTTTAGAAAAGTAAGAGGCTACTTGATTAAAACATGAGAAATGAAGTGGCCATGACAGGTTGCAGGGGGAGATCTTTCCTCTTGTGGGAGAATCTAGAACTAGGGGTCACTATGTACAAATAAGAAGTCACCCATTTAGAACAGTGATGAGACGACAACTTTTCTCTCCTAGAAATGAGTGTCTTTGGAATTCTCTTCCTGACAAGGTGGTCAAAGCAGAAGCTTTCACTAATTGTTAAGGCCAAGATGGAAAGATTTTTGGCAGATAAAGGAATATAAGTTTATCAGGAGTAGGTGGGAATGTGAATTTGAGGTTGCAATCAGATCAGCCATGATCTTATTAAATGACGGAGCAAGGCTTGAGGTACAGAAGGCCTACTCTGCTCCTTATTCATAAACCTATAAAACTGTAATATCCCTATGCTGTACTGCACTAAAACTTTAAAAGTACATTGCTGTGATTCAACACAAAATTGTTAAAACATGGTATTTTCTTAACTAAAGGTAAATTCACCTCTGAAAATACCATTATAAACATCCAAGTCTATGGATTTAAACGTGTAGAGGTTTGGTATTCTCACCTCAGTTTTATCCCAAAAGTTTCAGGGAAGAAATGACTTTCAACTTTCTTTTTATATTTTATGACTGTGAAAGCAAAATAAGAGGGTGGAGTCTGAAATGTCAGTTCATGTAGCAAGGAAACTAAACATTTCCTAAAAGTAATCCATTTTTACAATAATGTTTTACTGTAGTATATAATAAAACACCAAATCTGTTGTGGCAATATCTGACAATGTTTTTTCCACTTTATTTTTTTATTCTACACAACGGGTAGGTAGAATATTCATTGTATACAGATAACACTGTCCCAAAAACACATGTATCAGCTTTTGAATTGAAAATTAGCTCTTAGTGACAAGTAAGCTATCTTTAGCTCAGTTATTAGGAATAGATTAACTCAAACTAGACCAAACTCATTCAAATTTACATCCAGATTAAAATCACCAACTTTGCTCTTGCCCAACAGACCATCACAAATTAAAAGCTTGAATCAACTTCTTTGGAAATAATACTCTGAAATACACCGTATTTGTACAAGTCCAAACATTTTGACTGAGTAAAATGATAAAATTGCTTTCAACCACAATAGGTCTTGCTGGGTCCATCCCACTCATAGAACTCAGATCAAGGACAAGATTTTATGATGCTGCAACATCCTTTTTCCCTGGGCACTATTTGTAGGTCTTTGTTGAGCTACAACCACAAGCATATTTTCTGCATTTGGACTTCTGTCTTAAAAAAATTCCAACACTAAACAGACTAACTGTATGCTATTAGCATATCTAGTTAACATATCTGAAAATCCAAGAAAATCCAGTGAAGGCTTTTACAATTTTTACGTAAAATCTTGGTTTACAGGTATATATAATGTTCAATATGTGTAGCAATATATTTCACTTGTCACTTTAAAGGCTGCATAATTGTCCAGACTAAATAGAAATACTATTGCCACTATTATTTCGCTGTATTCTTTGGCTCACATATACACTAAAATACCATAAACATCATTTAGAACTCCTTTGATAGTATATAAATAAAGATACAGTACATACAAATTGAAGAAAATACTAGACACCTCTGTAAGACAGTAAATTTCTGGATATAAATAAGCAAATATTCTGTAATATACCTACATTTTTAAACAGTTCTGTTACTGTAAAACTATTACATTTATTTCTCTTCACAAAAAAATCAGTTAACATTAATATACACAATCTACACAAAATGAATACGTTTCTAGAAAGACATTTAATTACATCTGTCACAGAATTATGCAACTCTTACCCCAGAATCACAACTAAGGGGGCAACGTACTCAGAATAAAATGTGGTGCTCACACTCAATAATTTTACATTGTGACAAAAAGCACCGATACACAGTATAGCTACGAGAAAGGTTTCTGCACGGTCTAAGTAAGTCTACAATTATAGAATTACATGTACCTCTATGGGTTAAATTCACTGCACATTGTCCACAGTACTCACAGATCAGAGATTGCTGAGCTCTTTCAACAAAACATACATGCTGAGGCGCACTTGTTAAGTATAATATGTATTTAGAGATTGTATCTCTTAAATAATTACTTCTAATAAATATTCATTGGACAAAGAATGGGTTTACAGATTGCCTGACAGTACTGCAATGTGTTGCACAGATCTTTAAACAAAACACATTTGTTGTACATGGTAACCAGTTTTGGGAGAAAACATTGATGGCAACAGTAAGTAAATCAAGTTAACGTGTTACAAATCCTGCCCCAGTCGTTCTATCTCATCAATGAGGAAGTCAATGTCTGATTTTGTTGCAGCTGGGTTTGAGATGACCATGCGAAAGAAGTTAGCTTTATCTCCTTGAGGCTGATATCCAACCATTGTAGTGCCACATTCCATCATCTGTGCCTTTATTTTTGGTGCAATCTAATACAAAAAAAGGGGACAATGGTTCTTAAAGTTCTCTTGATGGAGAACGTCGTTCAAAAGAAGCATGAACAAAAAGCTATCCACCAATTGATGCTGAATTATTTCAAAGTGAAATGGTAAAACACAAAGGTAAAAATAAACAAGGATTTTTTTCATTCTATTTGCAGACAATGTCACTAAACAATTTTGGATTTTAATTTTATTTAAAAAATTTTTTAAAATGTAATTTTTCTCTCAAATAATTTGTTAATCATCTGCAAAATGTTTTCACTGTGAAAGGTTTTAATATACAACCTTGTTCTCACTACAAAATCAAACAACCCACTTTATCAATGATCTGTAAATGACATGGAACACATACTTTTACACAAATGGGAAATCTTCATTTAATGTCTGCACGTTCTTCAAGGTGACACAATGGTGCGATGCATTGGTTCTTTATTTGCATCATTATAACTCACTCCTAAAAAGGATTATTCATTGCAGTTGGATATTCTCAGTAGGAAACTGACCTGATGGTCAGTTAAGACATATGATTAGAGGCTATCCAAATCAAATGTAAATTTGAAAAAAAACTGAAACACATTTAGTTATTCAACTGTTGGTGTAATTTAAACACAATGCAGCAAGTTTTTTATGTAAGATAGTAGTTTCTGAGAATCACTTTTACAGGCGCTTTGATTCAATGTTTCTTTTCAAATGCAGTTTCTAAAATGAAAAGAGCATTTGCCCAGCAGTTGTTTTCTACCAAGATTTACTTCAGCATAATCACGAAACTCCATTTGTGGAGCAGTCAGATTTGGAAATAAAGAGGCCATATGTATGTGGAAATGGGAAGGGAGTGGCCTGACATTTATTGGCTTGGCAAGTAGTTAAAATAGGGAGCCCATTTTATTCTGACTGAGAGACTGGCAATTATTGACAAGCAGGAAGGGCTGCAGTAGAAGGTTACAGCTAAGGACAGGAGGGGAAGAAATGACAGGGAGAGAAATCATGGGAATTTGTCATCTAATTATAGAGTATTAGATTATGGGGGTGGGGGATGGGATTGCAGTGATGGATTCTCGGGATAGAATCACGGCAACGGTAAGATCACAACAAGGATGAGATCACACAGGGTCAGTGCTGGGAAGCTTTGATTGTAGGGAGTTTGTCTGATTGCAAGGTGTCAGATCATGAGAGTGTAATATTGAAAGACAGTCAGATTATAGGCAAATCAGATATGGTAGAATTAGATCTTGGTGATAAAGTTTGTCAGATCACAGGATAAAACCTGAATGAATGGGGACCAGACTACAGGAGAATCAGGTGGACTTCGAACACTAAGTGGATCAGGGCACAGTCAGGCATCATATTAAAGGAAAGTCAAAGTTCATGGGGTCAGATCACGTGCAGTACAAGCTCTTTAATATATTTAAGTTACTTACCTTTCTTCCTCAAAAGCAAGGTACTACAGCTTTGCCTGTAAAGTCACCCGACTATAAACTAGGGTAGGCATGTTCCATCTAGCTTGTACCACCATTCAACGCGATCATGTCTAATCCTTTGTCTCAACACCAAGCTCCCACTCTCTCCTCAAACCCTTAGAAACTTCTAGCCTCTAGAAATCTAATTCTTTCTTAACTATGTTACGTGACCTGTCTTCCATAGCCTTCTCTGTAGTAAAGAATTCCACAGCATTACCACCCTCTCAGTGAAGACATTTCTCCTCATTTCAGTCCACATATCCTGAGACCATGACCCTTGTTCTGGACCTCCCATCCAGCCAAGGAAAATCATCCCAGCATGCAGTCTGTCTAGCCGTGTTGTATAGGAGTTGGGTCATCATGTTGCAGCTGTACAGGACATTGGTGAGGCCACTTTTGGAATACAGCGTACAGTTCTGGTCGCCCTGCTATAGGAAGGATGTGGTTAAGCTGGAAAGGGTACAGAAAAATATTACCACAATGTTGCTGGGAGTGGTGGGTTTGAGTAACAAGGAGAGGCTCAATAGGCTGGGACTTTGTTGCCTGGAGTATCGGAGGCTGAGGGGTGACCTAACAGAAGTTTATAAAATCATGAGGGGCATTGATAAGTTGAATAACCAAAGCCTTTTCCCCAAGGTAGGGGTGTCCAAAACTAGAGGACACAGGTTTAAGGTGAATAGGGAAAGATTTAAAAAGGACCAGAGGGACAACATTTTCTCACAGAGGGTGGTGCGTGTATGGAATGAACCACCAGAGGTAGTGGTAGAGGTGGGTACAATTACAACATTTAGAAGAATTTGGACTGATACATGAATAGGAAAGGTTAGAGGGATATGGGCCAAATGCAAGCAAATGGGACGAGTTCAGTTTAGGTTACCTGGTCAGCATGGATGAGTTGGACCAAAGAGTCTGTTTCCATGCTATATTTTTATGACTGTCAGAACTTTATATGTTTCAAAGAGATGCCCTCTCATTCTTCTAAACTCCACTGAATACAAGCCAGTTGACTTAATTTATCCTCATACAAGAAACTTGACATCTCAGGAATCAGAGATAACAAGGTGCAGGGCTGGATGAACACAGCAGGCCAAGCAGCATCATAGGAGCAGACAGGCTGACGTTTCGGGCCTAGATCCTTCATCAGAAAAGCTATCTCTCATCTCAGGAATCAGTCTGGTGAACATTCACTGCACTCTTTCTATGGCAAATATACATTTTCTTAGTTAAAGAGACCAAAACTACACACAATACTTCATGTATAATTGCAGACAAAACCCTCTTGCAATGACCCCATAACTACTGGTACACCTACATGCCATGACCACTGTACATCTTGTCCCTTTGTAAAGTCAACAGTTTCCAATCTATCACCATCAAAATAATACTTTGCCATTCTGTTTTTTCTACTTAAGTGGACAATTTCACACTTACACAAGTTATACTGCATCAGCCATGTGTTTGCCCACTCACTCAAGTTGCCTAAGTCACCTAAAGCCTCTTTACATCCTGTTCACCACTCAGACTCCCATCTGGTTTTGTGTCATCAGAAAATTTTGAAATATTAAACTTAATTCTCTCATCCAAATTGTTGATATATATTCTGTATAACTGAGACGAAAACCATGATCCCTGTCCTACTCCAGCTGTCACCACTTTTCAATTCAAAATGACCCATTTAGTCCACTCCGTTTCTTGCCTGATAACCAATTCTCAATCCATGCCAGTATATTACCATAAATTCCATATGCTTTGACTTTGCACACTAATCTCTTATGTGGGACTTTGTCAAAACCTTTCTGAAAACCCAAATACACCATATTCACTGATTCTCCCCCATTCATTCTACTAGTTATATCCTCAAAAAACTCCAGTTGTTTGTTAAACATGATTTCCTATTCATAAGTTCAAGCTGACATTATACAATCCTGTTCATATTTATAAGTGTCCCTTTACCATATCCTTTCTAATGGAGTCCAGCATTTTTCTTACTACTGATGTTAGATTAACTGGTGTATTATTTCCAATTGTCCCCCTTCCCCCTTTTTGAAACACTCAGCTTACATTTACCATGCTGCAATCTGTCAGGACTGTTCCAGAGCTACAAAATTTTTGAAGATGACAATCAATGCATCCACTTTTTCCATGGCTACTTCTTATAAGTACCCTGGAATGTAGAGTATTAGGTGATGGGCATTTATCATCTTTCAGTCTCATTAATTTCTCCAGCTCTATTTTTCCTACTAATATTATTTCATTAAATTCTCCTTCCCTATAGACTCCTTGATCTGTGAAGCTAGGACTAATATAGTTATACCGTCATAGTGTCATACAGCACAGAAGCAGATCCTTTGGTCCAACTTGTCCACCACAACCAAATATCCTAATCTTCCCAAATCCCATTTGGCCCATATTCTTGTAAAGCCCATTCATATACTCATCCAGAAGCCTTTTAAATGTTGTTATTGTACCCATCTCCATCACTTCCTCTGGTAGCTCACCCTCTGCATGAACAAGTTGCCCCTCAAGTCCTTTATAAATCTTTCTCTTCTCACTTTAAATATATGCCCTCTAGTTTTGAACTCCTCGACCCTAGGAAAAAGACCTTGGCTATTCACCATATCCATGTTCTTCATGGTTTTATAATTATAATTATTGTCTATAGGTTTTATAATTATAGTTGTTTAATTACTTTTTCATTTATTTTTCTCCATTATCAATTATTCCAGACAATTATTTCAGACTATAAGGAGACCACATTTGTTTACACTAATCTTTTTCCTTTTACATATGCTTATAGATACTTCTAAAGTTTGCTGTTACTTTTCTTGTAAGTTTATGCTCATACTCTTTCTTTAACCCTCTTAATCAACCTCTTGGTCCTCTTTTGCTGAATTTTAACTTGCTCCTAGTCACCAGGCTTGCTACTTTTTCTAGCAACTTTATATGGCTGTTCTTTGAACTAATATCATCCTTAATTTCTTTTGTTAACAATGGTTTGGCCACTTTTCCTATAATTGTTGCAATGCATACATTTGTTGCTTAAACATTAGCAAATGTCTGTCCCCTGATATGCTCTATAATAATGTTACCCAATCTATCACAGACAAGTGACTCCTCATTCCTGTATAGTTTCCTTTATTTTGATGTAGGATCTTGGTTTCAGATCAGACTGCTTTACCTTCCACCCTATATGCTCCCCACCTCCAAAACAGTGGATAAGAATGATGATGAGTTTTATCTATTTTAAGCACATTACACTAAGGGTCCCAAATTTACTGTTTAATTGCTGAGGATGGCTGTACATTTTGTTGAAGGCTTTTCGTTCGCCTGTGTGATCTGTAATGTCCTGTTATGTCTTGTAACAGCTGCACACAGTTAAAGTCCCTTCTATTAACATGGAGAAACTAGCACACCAGCCCATGCCAATGGGATTAAAGCAGTCAATGTCCATGGGGAACTGAGAAGATTAACGTTAATAACTAATAAGCATGTAATAGCTACCCAGAGACTAGAGGTCATTAATTAGATGCATATAACAGCACACAATTCCCATCCCTGTGACTGTGCCTAGCATCTACTTTTGTTGCATTTTACTGAATTTGAGCTTTACGGCATTGAATTCCAACTGTTTTACTTTATAGGAAAGAAAAGCTCTTCTGATAGATTCCAAACAGTGATAAAATTATTGTTGCTGATAATTTTCTTTAACATTGCTCTATGCATTCTTTTTATGGATGATGATAATCTGTTTAGTTTGACACTGAATTTCATACTGGTTCCGTCCATTTTCAAATGTAAAAGATCTTTAGCCCTTCATTGGGGAAGTATAGTTGCCAACAAAATATTAAAAGTTGCATAGCAAAATGTTCTGAGCACTGCCCTGATTCCCTTAGAAAATAAACTCATATCTTCAGCACTTCCACACAATTATGAGATAATGGAATGATCAGAACAGAGGGAATCAATTTGGTTCAGTACACCAGAGTGTTTTGCGAGAACTATTTAATTAATTCCACCCCATTGCTTTTATCCCAAATCCCTATAAAAGGTTCCCTCTTTTGAATGTTGCTACCTGTTGTCACCTACTCTGACGTAGCAGTTTAAATCACAACAACTCACTACGTAAATATTGTTTCCTCATGCCACCTCCAGTTCTTTTGCCAATCAACTTCAATCTGTCCCTTCTGGTTACTGATCCTCCCATAACTGGAAACAGTTTTTCTTTGGTTATTGCATCAGAAAATTAGCATTCATAAATTTCAACATCTTTTTCAACTTAACTCTGCTTATTTCTTTGTTAACCCAACTCTCAAAATCTGAAATTTTGTCTAAACTTAATGATTTTATTTATTCAGTAATTTCGATTAATGTTGGAAAAATCAATGCCTCAAGTGAACACTTGTCCACTGCCCCTTCAGCACAAGCCCTTAATCGCCCCTATGACATGACTTTTGGTCAGCTTTAGATAGTTTTCTTTCAGTTGGAAGGACATGTAACTGATGGCATTACCACAGCAATCTAAAAATGATAAACAAAGGTTTATTGTCAGCTCTTGTACTGGAGCCTTGTTCAAGAAATAGACATGTATTGGTATGGGACAACAAAAAGGATAACGCTCAGAGTTACAACAAGCACACTGACATTTTAACATGAAAATGTGAATTAAGTTGACAAACAGACATTTTATTTGCATACATTAGAAGTGTCTATTTTAAAGAATTACTGTTTGAAATAAATATTTTGAAAAATTTTCAGAATTCTACCTTGCCAAGTTTTTCCTTTCTCTCCTCACAGTCTGGCATATTTCGGAAACTTGGTGGAATGTACCAGAAACAAACATTAGTGTGCTCCGGCTGCAGGAGAAATAAGCAATGATAAACTGAAGAAAATGTCTTGCCTTAATATTTGTTTATAATATTGTCAGTATAAACACATTGAACCTAAAATTCCAACAACAATATTAAACTGAAGTAGAATAAGATTATCAGAGTTATGTTCTTTCTAAATATACCTGGCACAATCTTCTGAACAGCCTTTGTTGGTTGACCACAGAAATACAGGTACCAAAGACTAGGGAGGCTGTGGATGTAAAACCTGAGGAAGAGGGCCTTTTTTGAAAATGGAATGATTGAAGGAGGAAATGCCGGAAGGCTAGGGCCAAGTATTTTAAAGAGGACCATTGTTTATAGAATAGAAATTGTGGGGGTTGACAGTAACTACTTTTCATTAAACAAAATGGGAAGGAAGAAGGCAGGTAATGGCAGTTACAAATATAAAGGAGGAATTGGTGGAAAGCAATTGAATATACACTTACTTCTGCATCGAATACCATTTGATATCCATCCCTCTTTCTAATTTTGTTGTAGAAGTACATTGCCAGGTCCAGGCACTTGTTAATTTGGTTTTCAAATCCTACTGTGCCCTATAATGAATTGTATAGCAAATGGATTAAATATTAACTCATTATTCAGGGAGAACTTTAAAACCATTTTTAATAATCCAATGTGCATGAAGCAAGTGCTTATAAATTACAAAAAGATTCCATTACCAGCAATAATACTTCAAAAGCACCAAATACATTATCTATCTAAAGTGGATAGTGTAGTACTCATCCAATGTGAAGAACTTGCAACAATTTTTTAATGGAAATGGTACTCTTACTAGTTTAGGATAGATTCACCTTTGAACCAATAAATTATTTATCTATAGCACCCGTCTCATAAAGAAATATCTTGCAGTAAGTTTGTCAGGGAAATAAGTGGACAGAGGCTGGAGGGAGAAAAGAAGTGAGGCAAGGTGGGGGAAAACCAATGAAGGAGATAGTGACCTTAAAGGATGAACTAAACCAGTATGAGGCTGTGAAATGATAGAAGAGGAAGAATGGAGTGTAGGTGAGATAGGAGTTCAATCAAAAATAAAACAGGAAGCTGGCAATGGACAGAAGTTATTGGGTCAAAGGATAGGAGACGGAGGAAGATGAACAAATATCTTTAATTGTGGAAATGAAAACGTAAAATTAAACCCTTGTATTAACTCTCCAAACTAGAAATGAAGATTGCATTGCAGATATAATTGAGTGTGGTTGGTTTAAAAAAAAGGTCAGAGTTTCAAGGGAAATAATGATAAAGTTTGAGATCCAGTTGGTTGCAAAGTGCATTAAATTCATGGATTTGGAGCCAAAGGAACTGGAGGAGTTTTGGGGGCTGTACAGTAGATTAGGAGATTAACTGGGATCTATAGGGACAAATTTGTAAAAAGAAGTTCTGATTTCAAGTAGTCCTATTGCAGTTGCAAAGAACAGATATGTTTCATTAAAACTCTGGCTTTGATGAGGCATTTCTTCTGTGGTAATGTAAAACATTGATGCCACAAGATTTAAGCAGATAATTGACATTCAAATGTTAGGAAAATTAAAAATGTTAATACTTTGTGTATTTGCACAACAGTAGGGACAGACTAAACAAAGAGGCATCACTCTAAAATATCATGACGTTTTCATGAGTACAGGTCGTGAAAATCTCAGTAGGATTAATCTAGTGTCTTCCCAACCACAGACACTGATAATGTACAATTACTATATGAAACAAACCCACATTTTATATCATTCCTAAATTTGTGTGCAACTTTAAACCTGTCTGCCCAGCATAATTAAAATGGTAGGCTGGGGTTTCCCTTTCTGTTCTCAATGTACTTGTGGTCATTTGTATTTGAACTGCCATTTTGGGGGCAGAGAGCTTTACTGTTTGCCAGAGGCAAAGACTCTTTCATTTTTAAACCTGGGATCAGACCACATAACTTAGCACCCTGTATGATTTCAACTATCAAAAATGCCAGTTATGCCAAATGCTGGATCTCCCCAGTGAAAATTGCTACCAACTACCACCTTAACACACAGAAGTCGAGGTATGATGAAATAATTTATTTTTGTATGATTTCTTTCTGAGACAGAAAGCCACAGGGACACTCTCCAAGCCCCACAAAGAAACATTATTATCTCCGGGGTCCATACTTCCCAAGCGTGATCATCTCATTCCTATTCTAGCTCCATTGAGGATTTTATTGCAAAGGAATGTTCTCTCATGTCCTTAACAGCAATCTCCACTCATTGAACTTCTTGTCATTCCTACCAGTTTCAGGCAGAAGTCCTAGTCAGGTTGTCCACTATAGGTCATAGCGTACAAGTCAGCCTGATGAATTAGACAACTCTTTCTCCAGGCATGAAAAGATTATGTTTTTGGATATACTTGGGCAATCAGTCAGTTTCCCCTGAATTTCAGCAATGGATTTCAATTTCATACTAGCAGTCAGCCTCAAAGTTTTTTTTAACCACAAATGCATATTTTATTTGTCTTACAACTGGGCTCAAGGAATTGACAAACTAACACAGGCAGTGTTACGAAGAAATGTGGGAGTTTAATACATGCCCATTCTGAGCAAACACAATGTGGTGCATGATTAAAGAAAATGAGCTTCCAATAGAGAAATGAAATATAAAGCTGGTTTCAAGTCAGAAGTTGTGACATTTTAAACTCTTCAAATATATGGGCTGCAGTGAAGGAATTTGGTATGAGTGAAACATAGGTGCAAGAACAGAAGAAGGAGGAACCTGCCCTGAAGCTGCCTAAGAGCAAATACATCGTGAAAACAGGGACCAGCCCCTGGCCTGATCTTAAGAAGCATTATCAGAAAAGGTCCTTGAAAAATTCCAAATATTTATATCATCACTAAACTAAAGTTTATATGCCCACACAACTGTGCTGTATCAAACCCTGAGTTCAGCAAAGATTTCAGAGCAACAACTAATTGGTATAGTCGCTTTATGGATCATAAATGTCCACTGTTTTGGCAGAAGACCAAGATTGGTCAGAAACTACCAAAGGACCACAATGCCAAAATGAATAGTTTCCAGTGGCAAAAGCATGAGATCACATTATGTCACATCAGCAAGGTGGATGAAATATGTATGAATTTCAGTTTCCCCAACAATCAAACTGCAAAGTAGAAAGATTCAAAACAGTTCTTGCGCAAAGCACAGGACAAGATTCACAGTGGTACTAGCCTGGATGGCCCTCAGAACAAAGTTAAAGCCTGTGATAATTTTCAAATGTAAATCCATGTGGAAAATCAAACCCTTTGTGGCAGATTTTTGTGCATGTCCATGACAATGATTGGATGGATGAGGACAAAGTAAAGATACAGATCAGTAATGTGCGGAATAAGTGTCTTTGTGGCCTATGTAGAAAAGTGTTGTTTAGTGTGAGACACGTTCGATCCATATGAACAATGAAATCAAAAGACACCTGTGAAGAAATAACATCCACTTTGAAGTTATGCTAGGAGGTCTCACACCCATAGTTCAACCTCTTGGTGCATCATTCAGTGATAATGATCGCACCAAATAGAATTGGTGGATAGTTTATGGAGGAAAAGCCTTTACAAAGAGTGGAAATATGCAATCTGCCCTGCTTGATGTTTTGTACCATTGTATCATCAAAACTGTCATCAGATTGTTCAGAAAATGTGGAAGTCCAACTCAATGGACACAAGAAAATATGATTTGTTGTGGAGGGATATTTCTGAAACAGAAAGCACTGTATCTGATCCAGAGTGGGATCCTTGTGATTATATAAACTCTATCCATTTGATGTCAAAGACAATGACAATGGCAGGTTTTAAAAGATTCTTTTATGGTTAAAGATATTTCTGTGCAATTAAATTATTCAATAAACTGTTCCACATTAATATGAGTTACCAATAGTTTTTTCTTACATTTCAAAATTATGACCGCCCAGACCTACACTGGTGGTTCACATTTTATACTGGGCATTAAAATTTTTACAGTTTTTGAAATGATTCTTGAGACTTCAAAGGTCAGCTTGTATAGCATTACATACAGGAAATGTAGACATGGAAATTAAGGTCTTTCAGGGCTCATGCTGTGGTGAGGGGATTGGGAGGTGGGATGTGGATCTGGATGTGGATGTTCTCCACACCCCTAAGTCTCTATGCAACACTTCAGAACTTTAGCTTTAAAAGTAAGCATTAGCAACAATGTTCATATGTTATATAGTTTATTTATTGTTTAGTCATGTGAATTGCCTGATGGTAATAGGTACATTACTAACATGCAGGCTGGAATCCCCCTTCCTTCATGCCAAGAGTTATGTAGAGGAGATGGTGAGGGTGTGCAAAAAACAAAGAACAAAAGAACAAAGAAAATTACAGCACAGGAACAGGCCCTTCGGCCCTCCAAGCCTGCGCCGATCCAGATCCTCTATCTAAACCTGTCACCTATTTTCCAAGGATCTGTATCCCTCTGCTCCCTGCCCATTCATGTATCTGTGTAGATACATCTTAAATGACGCTTTCGTGCCCACCTCTACCACCTCCGCTGGCAACGTGTTCCAGGCACCCACCGCCCTCTGCGTAAAGAACCTTCCACGCATATCTCCCTTAAACTTTTCCCCTCTCACGTTGAAATCGTGACCCCTAGTAATTGAGTACCCCACCCTGGGAAAAAGCTTCTTGCTATCCACCCTGTCTATACCTCTCATGATTTTGTAGACCTCAATCAGGTCCCCCCTCAACCTCTGTCTTTCTAATGTAAATAATCATAATCTACTCTACCTCTTTTCATAGCTAGCGCCCTCCATACCAGGCAACATCCTGGTGAACCTCCTCTGCACCCTCTCCAAAGCATCCACATCCTTTTGGTAATGTGGCGACCAGAACTGTACGCAGTATTCCAAATGTGGTTGAACTAAAGTCCTATACAACTGCAACATGACCTGCCAACTCTTGTACTCAGTACCCCGTCCGATGAATCAAAGCATGCCGTATGCCTTCTTGACCACTCTATCGACCTGCGTTGCCACCTTTCAGGGTACAATGGACCTGAACACCCAGATCTCTCTGTGCATCAATTTTCCCCAGGGCTTTTCCATTTACCGGCCATTTATTTCCATTTATTGCCCATCCCTAATTGCCCAGACAAATGTTAAGAGTCAACAACATTGCTGTGGGTCTAGAGTCACAATGCCAGCCAGACCAGGTAAGGATGGAGGTTTACATAGAAAAGAGAACAATACAGGACAGGAACAGGCCCTTTAGCCCATGATGTTGGGCCGAAAAGGCAGCAAGGCTGGGGATGTTGGAATTTTAATGAGGTAAGTAGGTGTCGGGTGGTCTATGTGCCCATCCTCAAGCCAACTGAGGCTGCTAAGTGATCTCCTATTTCAGCATCCTGTGCCCTATGGAGTATTCCCACAATGATGATCACCTCCCCGCTTCTTTTCCTAAGTCCCCTGACCAGCCAAAAATGTCTATCTCATAGCCCCACCCCACTTACAGTCCAGTCTCCTACAACAATCCTTATGAGGGATTGGCTGCAATCCATCTGTGACTACCGCTTCCAACAGAGCT